CAAAGCCAGTGTAGTCTTTAAATATTCTTTGATAGTTTTTTTAACATGTGTAATCATTCTTCTAGCTCACTTTTAAATTCTTTCCAATTGTGTCATCATTCTTGAACTGTGGTGCTGGAAACTGTACAATATTCCAATGGAGCCCTTACCAGTGTTGATTAGTCTATTGCAGATTACTACAGACAGATTACTTGCAAACAGTTGTCCTGTTAATAAAAGCAAAATAACACACTGGGAGAGGAACTTGTGTACAATGTCATTTCAAAATTCACTATTCTTTAGAGATAGAGTCTTTAAGGTTACTGGGAGGTAGCTGTCTGAAAAGAAATACAAAGCAAATACAGTTACGAGCTTTTGAAGCAGTTTTGCAGAGGATTTTGACATTACAGGCTGTTTAATCTGCTGTTATGAGCAAGTCACTAGTAGGTACCTAAAAAACCAGTTACTGAATGCTTAAAATCATAAAATTGGCAAGAGATGATATGAGGAGGAGAGGGTGTAGACTACGTGAACTCATTGAAAGAGATGAAACAGATGATGTTAACAAAAAGGTAATCCATTTGTTTATATTATCCAAAAATAACCAATAGGCGTAAAGATGTCATGGGATAAAGCATGCCCTTTCTTGAACTAATAAACTGAAAAATAGGAAGTGAAGACAGTAAATAGATTTATTCTTTTTTATTGTGGCAGAACATCTGTCTGTTTTTCCTAGATGTGCTCGGATTAGAGATGTTCAGCATATTTATAAATGAAATGAGATTCAGTATTGAGGCAAGCGTTAACTGCGGATGTCAAGCTACTTAGGGTAGTGAAAACTGAAGTAAGCTGCAGAAATTTGCAGAAAGATCTCATAATCTTGAGTATCTGAGTGAATTTCGTTTGACATTGGTATGAAATGCAAAATAATACAGGTGAGCAAGAGGGAGCTTTCAATTTGGCTGCTCTGTGGTGGTCTTGAAATTAGCAGTTACCAGTCAGAACAGGTATTTTGGAAGTAGGAAGTGTCTGAAAACAATTCTCAGCAACAGTCAAAAAAGCAACAAGAATGTTAGCAATTATTAGGAGATGGGGGAAAGGAATATATGGTGTTTAAGTCCACAGTACAGTTACATCTTGGATGCTGCCTGCAGCTGTGGTCATCTCTAGTATCTCAAGGTATATGTAAGATCCAGGAAAGGCTAGCAGCGTAACAAAAATAGGAAATGATTCTTAAATGAGAAGGCAGTTGAAGGGGAATGGCAGCTCTTGCTGTCATAGAAAAAATGAAGGAGTAGCAATTGCTCATTGTTTGTTGTCTCTACTTTCTATGTTTTCCACTATTCTATTAATTGTCAGAAGGTATTCCAGACACCTAAACTAGGTGGAAATGCAAACAGTTGGTCTGAGCTATTACAGTTCTCATCTCAGGAAGTTCCCATGCTACCAAAATATGGGGAGGATTAAGGAAAATCACTTCTGCATTTGCCTTTCTAAAATATCTAAACCTTGGAGATAAGCCACAGTGTTAAATAGACCTTGCTGGCTATTTTAATGGTATTCTGTAGAAGTGCCCTATAACAATTCTAAGCATGTATTTTCAATACAATAAGGAACATGTTACATGTATCTCCTTATTTTGCAGAGTAATCAACAGCTTCTGCAAATTGTAACAGAACAGAATGCGGAACTACAGCACCTACAAAAACAACTGAGGTATAAACCAGGCAATTAAAAATTTATTAATTACCTTTTCTATAGCTTTTTCTAACCTGCTGCTATATCACGGGCCTTGTGTGTGCTGTAAACTGCTTTGGTAATGATAGTTACAATGGTTTCAGTTAAAGCCTCTTAAGTTTGTTAGAACTCTGTGCATCATTAGTGTTAGGGTAGCAGATTTCCAGTTAGTATTATTTGTCTCAGCTGTTTCCTGAAATATTCAACATTTGACTGTTGAACAAAGTGTCAGTATCACAGCAAAACTGACTCTGGAGATAAGTTTTCAGTAGAAGACAATTTGCTCAAAATCCAGTTATGTGATTACTCATTAACATTCTGAAATTTGGATGTTCGAAGTAGTTTTAAATTTTAATGGTGGTAATAAAATTTCCATTCCCTGTTTCTCAGTAATGAGCAATAAAATGTGGGCTCTTTGGAAGTTAGAGGTAAGAGGAGTATTAATGATATGCCTGAAGTGTATCAAGGAAAATGAGGAAAATAGCTGTGACACAATTTCATGATTATTTGTATTTACAGCCAGAGTCTGTTCAGTGCCAGTTTACTGTATCCGTTAACCCTTCTGATTAGTGATGGCTGAGGTCAAACTAACATTTCAGTAACTAGTGGATTTATAGACTGAAATAAAAAGGAAACCAGTGATGATTTTTTTTCTTTTTTTTTTATAGCATTACCCTAAAACTTTAAATAAGCTCTTTAAAATAAACTTTCATATTTATAGGCTTAAAATCTAGAATGTGCTTAAATTTGGAGTTAAATTTTCCTTTGATTTTTAGATACTGTAATTTCCTTCAATACTGTCATTAAAATACTTAATATAATTGGACTGCAGTGATCTTGTTAGATGGTTTTATTGATTTTTAAAGAACATCACCCCAAAAATGGTAAAAATCACTTCCATTTTTATGTAAACTGTTAAAGATGGCTCTCTGTGTGCATGCACTCAATTTTGTGTGCGGTTTTTGCAAGCAGTGAGAAACGTATTGAGAAACATAGGTTGGCTGAACGCGTGTTGATACTGATTTATCCCTCCAAGAAAGAATGGCTGCATCAGACTTTCTCTCTCCTCTGTTCCAAACCCATACAAAATATTACATGAAAAGCAACTGCTATCTGTTGTAGTGCTAAGTGATTATCACTGTAAAGATTAGGTATTACACAAATTTCAGCATGTTTAATGAGTCTAGTTGTACTATTTGTAGATATTCAAGTTGTCACAAAACCCACATTAAAAGATACAAGTTGAGAGTGAATGAACAGCTTAATTAGTGTTGAATATTGGTCATGGTTGAGTATTTATTAACCAATTTAAAATTTGGGGTTTTTTTAAGATTGGATGCATCCAAACTTTCTTGCTGTTAGAGCAATAAAAATCAGCTGCTTCTACGGTTAAGCTTTTACCCTGTTTGGTACATTACAGATTACTTACTAGAATAATTTTGTTTTAAATAATATTTAATTTTACCTTTCCTTTTGTACTATAAATGTAGGACCAGAACCTGCTTACAAATGCCAGGTTACCTCAGTCACTGAAAATGTGTTTTTGAGAGGTACTTGTTAGCACCTCTCATTTTTATTAGTCAAGATTTTTCTATGGAAAAATTGTTTTCAGAAATCATATTTTGAAAAACAAAAGTGTTATGACAAGCAATTAAAGATTAACATGGTACTTGGGGTATTTGCCAAAATAAATCATTTCCAAACTTAGTTATCACTTGCAATTTGCTTGTGCTACAGTTCTTAGAAGGGAAAGAACATTTTCATATCCCTACTTTTTTTTTAATTTCTTTCTTTGCAGAGGATATTAGTATCGAATTACTGTTTTGATCTCTCATTCATCCATTCATCCATCTTTGCTCTTGCATTGACATGCTTACAATGACTCATGTAGTAAGTGGGGATGAAAGCAATTAGCATAAACTGAACCCATTTTAGATATTCAGTAAATGTGTAAAGTCACTCTAAGGTCTCTCGCCCACAGTCATGAGTTTTAATGTTTTCTTTCAAGCTGTTGTCTTCTTAGAAGTCTTTCTGTGACTTTAATCTGGCTGGCAGTGATCACAAGCAACCTTTGTCATTGTTACTCTATAGCATTCTCAGTTTTGGGAAAAGAGGCTCTTGGAGGAATTTTGCATCTAATTTTATGGGCACTGATTACATTTGCGTTCCTCTCAGATCAGCTAAAAGTTCTTATAACCCTGAAAGCAGTGGTGTTATATTTGTAAAGCTAATGACAGCAGCTCTATATAGCTCCAAAAGAAGTGCTGCAGTGATTCTGAAAGTTTGGCATATTTTACCACTCATTTCTCTAACATGAATTTACATAGATGTAATTTGCATGGATTATATAGCATATATTGCAGACAATTCCAATCCTTTAGATAGTTTTTAATAGATACGCATTGATTTATGGTGATAGAGTTAAAAAGTCTGGAGAGGAAAAGTAGATCTAAAAAAACCAAGCTTGTGTATAAGAGAATTTAGGTTTGATTTAGGTTTGTGTGGCCTAGATTGAGTGTCATTTTGGAGATTTTAGTATCGCTAAGTTTATAAATGTGTGTTTATAATTTAGGTACTTTAATTACATGAAAGTATGCAATCTGACATATAGCCATGAAACACTTTAAACATGCTCCTGAAATAGTCATCCTGTATCTCCAGTACATGTGCCTAAAGGAATACTGCTAGATTAAGATTTGGCAAGTAATTTGGGAAAAAGAAGATAAAATTAAGAATTCTGCTGGAAGTTATTTTCAGCTTGATGTTGGCTTTTATTCTTCTGGTCAGATCTTACCCAAAATAAAAAAAAATGAAATTTGGGCAAAAACTCCGTAAAAAGTGCTTAAGAACTAAATCATTGCTTCTCATCAATGTTAACATAAACTGAACTTAAAATGTACTACATTGTACTATTTATGTACTATTATGCTAGGTATTAAAGAGCCATAATTTGCCACTCTTGGAGGCAGCGTAATATTTGACGTATTTCTGTAGAGAATTGCGGTATGAACAGATTTCATTTATTCATATGCTGGAATTTTTATTGACACATTTATTTGTGCTTTAGTGTTTCAAAGCTCTGTTGTATACATTTAGTATACATCATTTAGTTCACTGTATTACTGTTCTCTTCATTTAACTACTAGCAGGGTTCTCTAGAGAGGGGATGCTTAACAGTCAATGACCTAATGGTCTTCTCTGGTGGCTTGAACTGTTGAGTTTTACTGCGGGTATTAAAAATGTTTTAATCTATATGCTAATGAAATATTTTTAAAGATCAGTAGATAAAATATATGAAGTAAGAAAACTGGCATTGCTAGGGTGTGTATCTGCATTTCAGAATCTTAACACTTTTAAACAGAGAACTTGCCACGGTTATGTTATTGTTCAGTATTGCTCAGTGAAGAATAAAAGCTGCATCTTTAGAATTAATTTGTTGCCTGTTAAACACACACCTCTGAATTTGATCTGAATCTGAATTTGGTCCTTAAAATGCATTTTTTATACTTAATCTTTTCTGAGTTTTATGACTTTTTTATTATTATTATTACTATTTATTCCTTATGCTGGGTTTTAAGGTTTTGTTTTGTTTTACAGCACATTTTAAATATCTGGGGGGAAGCAACTTAATGTCCTCATAAATTTAACAGTACTTTTTGTAGGAGAAAGATGCATAATTCAGGTGGAGTAACATCAAACTTCTGGACCTGCAGTGAGGACTGTATGTCTGGGAATAATGTTTTTATCTTTGTTTTTTGCTTTTAAAAGAAATTATAACAAAATTAACTTTTCTGATGAATTAAGCTGAAGTTAAGTATTTGCTGTAGAATTGCTCGAATTATGTATATTTTGCTTAAGGTTTTCATGTAGGTATAATTTGTTCTTGTCTTTTATGTCATTAAAACAATATCACTATTTCTATAAGGATTGTTTTGCATCAAATTGGTTATTTTTTTCTAGCTTCTTTTGTTACTGTTGCTGCTCCAGTTTGCATTACTTTATCTATTTTCTCTTTTTTAACTGTGTCATACATGCTATCATTGGTCTTTAAATTTAGCCTAATATGCAGCCTGAATAATTGGGTGACACCGCAGGTGAAGGACTCTGTGTCTTTCTGTTTTCAAGTTAGAGTAGGAGCGTTGCTTGTTTCAATAAGCTTAGGAGGAAGTCTGATTCATTAACTAGCCCTCACGTAAAACCTATTCAGATTACAAAGCACATCAGTTAAATTCTTCAGAAGTGGTAATGATGATTTTTTATTATTTTTTTTTTTTAATTCCTAGTCAGGTTGCTTTAAAAAGTGAAATCTAATTCTGCAAAAGGCTTTTCTGTGAAGTATCTTTGCCCAATGATGTTTAAGCTACTGAATCACTTAAAGTTTTTGATTGCCTTGTCCTCCCAAATAAGTAATCAATACATACACCTTCCTGTTAAGGATCTTTAAGAAGTCATTTCCACAGAATAATTGTTTAATGAATCTGTTGTTCCTCTTCCACTATGCCACACAGTAAGAAGAAGAAGGGGGAAAAGTTTTCTGCCCTTTAGGAGCAGTGTTAGGAAATTTGACTGCACTTCACAGCTATTTCAACAAAGTTGTAATTGATCTGGGTTTTTTTTTCCCTATGTTAGTTGAAATGTGATTCATAGACTGTTTTCTTTATACAGGCAAGCCAGAATAGATGGGCAGACAGCAAATGCTAAGGTTGATGAAATGACCAGATTGACAAACAGGCTTCAAAGCCAATTGGAGAGAAAGGTACTTTAGAGAAAGGAATAATTTTCTGTTGCAATTGAATGGCTAGTCAGTTACCTGAACGCTGACATAAAATTAATCATAAGTTGTTCTCTAACTTATTTTATGTTAGTGCATGCTTATTTTGTTCAGGGAAGGTCAGATGATGTGTGGATAATGCATACATTCTTTCTAGGAAGATAACATGGTATTTGCCCGGCAAAGAGAAGCAGCATTTAGCAGACGCTTGTATCAAATGCAGACTAGGATAAAACAACTAGAAACAAGGTAACAATCACTTCTTGGGTGTTAATCACACAATACATGCAAGAAAGATTAAATACTATGGGTTTTTTCAGCCTCTGGGTTTTGCATTTCTGAGCAGCAATGTTTTCTCAAAAAACAGGTATCTTATGCTTGGCTGCTCTCCATCTTGTTATATTCTGCAACCTTTCAGAACAGCTTCTGTTTTCAGTGTTTTTAAAATGATAAACAGGCCACCTGATTTTATTGACTAATGGAGAAAAAATGAGGCATATATTTTTCATTCTAGTACATAAATTCTAGTTACTCAACTCTTGTTAGCTTTGGGTGGAACTCTAAAGAAAACCATTGATACTGAAATTTGAAATGTTTATGTAACCTAGAAGGTTTTGAAGTGAATACAGATTTTTCTTTTCTTTTTTTTTTTTCCTGCTGTCTTAAATAGGATTTGTTTTCAGGTGTTAGTTCAGCAATCTGTATACAAAAAAAGATAATTTAATGACACTGTTAAAGCTCGCTTCTTAACAATAAATGCTAATTGCAAAAGCAGTTTGAATAAGTTTGAGCAAAGGAATAGAACTTAAATTCCAGCGCTATCTACTGGAAGATGTAAGACTGGTTCTTTTGCATGGATTTTTTTTACCCCCTTCGTCTTCAAGGATAAGACACTTGCCTGAGCCCAGTGATTTTTGATTCAAGTATCACAAACTTGAAGTTAATTCAAGTTGTTGAATTATTAACATTAGTCAAATGACCTGATAGTTAAGAAGAATATGTAAATTTCTTACTGAAATAATTATGTGATTGTTCATCTTCAATTCTTGGCCACAGCCTTGCAAGTATGATTAGCAGACTCTTCAATAACTCTAGAACCCAAATAATTACTAGGGAACCAGCCTTGTAACTCTGTGGTCATGCACTGTCTCAAGTTGATGCACAGGCTCGTGTGGCTACCTCTACTTAATGAATTTCGCTGACCTAAGCATTGTGGAGGGTCTTAAGTTATTTTTGAATGTCTGAAGGAATAGCTCATTTAACGTTCTTCTGTAGATTTTTGGTCTTGGAAAAATTGGGCTTTGGTTCTACAAAAATATGGTGGTTGTCTCTGTGTTTTCTGAAGTGCTCTCAATGGGTATTTAGAACCATGCACTTCACTGAACCAGCAGTACTTGTGAAACTTTCTGAGATTTTTCAAGGATACCTCTGAGGCTTTCTTGCTCTTTCTCATGCCTACCAATACTGACAATCATAATTAAACAAGGTTTTCCAAGCTGTTGTAAAATTACCAGTGGTTTCTTGTTCTAATGGTATAGCTGCAACTTCATTGCCCACATCCAATTATTCCATTTCCTCCACAGAGGAAAACTCTGTTCTTCTGGGGCTGTTATATTCTGTTTTAATATAGAACATTTTCAGTGATGTATCCCAGGATAGCTACATTCTGCAAAGGATCTTCTGAGATTAGATATCTGAGTTAACTCCTTTAGTTCTGTTTGTTTCTAGGACTTGATGAATATTAAACTCAGACTCTGTCCAAAACCAAGCAGAAAATCAGGAATGCAGTTTTGGCAATTTATGAATACATCTTATTAGTTTAGCTTGCAACAATTAGTGTATTAATTAAGCATTTTATCATTCAATTAGTAAAATTATTACAGTCTTGTAGATTGCGTATTACTGTCCAAGATGCTCAACAGCAGAGAAAAGAAAGAACAGCCTGGGAGAAACAAATCGTGGAACTTCAGAGAAAGATTGCTAATCTGGAAAGGGAGAAGCATGATGCTGTTGCAAAAGCCCAAGATTACATACAGGTCTTAGAAGAAGCTAACGTACAAAAAAGTCGGGTAAGGCAAATGTCGAATATTTCTTAGGTATTAGAATACTTTCATCACTTACAGTTGTGAGGTGCATATGCAACCAAGCTGCATGTCTGTTGTACTAAAATTACTCCATGTGCGTAGCAAACTCTGATATGACCATACATTAGTTAGACTTGTTCCACAGTACAAATTTCAAAGACTATGTTGAGTGTCTGGATAAAGGTGATCTAAGTGATAATACTGTACCTGAACTTGAATTTTCAAAAATTTTTGACAGAATTTCTTATCAATAGGTGTTTCTTGTTTCTTATAAAGAAATTGGACTGTCAGAATAAAAAAGAAGGTCCTGTTATGAATTTCTAACTTACGGCTGGGAAAGAAGAGCTAAAACTAAAGGGAATTCTTTTGTTACACGATGGGCATAGGTCAGCAATAGAGCAAGTTCTGTGTTCAGATCTTAATGATGCTGAAGAAATCCAGAAAACTGTCTGAGTGGTGAAGTGTGCAGTCAGGAAAAATTTGCCAAGGTGTTTATTAGTGTATTATAAAATGTCAGAAGAAATTCAAATGTGCCATACTGGTTGCTGAATTTAGTCTTATCAAACAAAAAATGGTTTAGGATATAGTGTGGATGTCTCTTAAGAACACACTTGCACAATCCTCTGTGGAGCTCAATACAATGAATAGAACGTGCAGAGTGAATGTCAAAAGTAAAGATGCCTTTAAACATAGCCTTCATGTGCAGTCCTGATCAGTCCGTTTCAGGAAGACGTAGGAGAAATAAGGAAGTGTAGGAGAAGTCAACAAATAAAACTAGACTTTTTTTTTTATATACAATAGGTGTTTAAACTGTCATAGGATGAAGGGTATGCCAAAAGTATGTAAATATAAAAATGGTCAAATTCAGGACAGGACGATCCACCAACACTTCCTAAAGAAACAGGGTCTAATCCAGCAAGTCTTGATGTGTCTATTGATCAAAAAATAAAAATAAAAAATCCTGTTTTCCCAGTTCTTAACTTCACAGAAGTCTGTTCTTTGCCCCTTTTGGAGATAGGTTACAGGGCTTGGACAACTTTTGTTTAATATGGGCTCTTTGTTTAATACTAAGCTTCAGTTTCAGTCAGACTTTTAGGACTCTAATGAATTGCATTTGCTGTCAGGACAGAACTTTAACGCACATCTGATGACTGTAGCCGTCAGTAAGTGAAACCCAGTGTAGTCAAAGTCTGTGGGAACAAATGGGAGAATCTTAGAATTTACTTTATTTCGGCTAACATGTTGAGCTGTTGAGCAATTAAGGAGATAAATGCTCCCTTTTAGTCTGAAGTTGCTTTTCAAACTTGAAGAGCCTCCTGAGTGTCTAAACTAGGTTTTTACTATAATTTTTGGAATATTAAAGTTAGTGTTGCTCTTGCTGATTTCAGTTCTGTGACAAAGGAGGCAAACCTGTCTCCTTTTTTTCTGACAGAAAAGGGAACTAACTTCTTGAAAGACATCCTGCTACCTTCTGGCCTGCTTCCAGAATAAAGTGTTGACAAAGCTTAGTGTTCTGCATGTTACTAAAGTTTAACTTCTGTGATTGTTCTTGCTGTATAAAAAGGGGTTATCATCTTGTTATAGTTTTCTCATGTATTCATAGTTATTTAGGAAATCCTTTGGTGCCATCTTTTCCTTCTTATAATTTCCTCATAACTTTGTGCATCTCATTTGCTTCCTAACAGAGAACTTACTATGCATCATTGTTGGTATTTTTTATTATAGATCTGCCCCTAGATGAGAACATGTGAGAGTAGCTCTGGTTCCTATGCTTTCTGTGTAATTCTGTAAGGTGTTTTGAACAGTGACTGTGTGGTTTCTTCTCTCAGTGCTGGATGTGTTGTCACCACTGTAATATCAGTAGTATTTCAAGTTGTTATTTTTTTTCTAGGCAGTCTCAGGGGAGAAACAAAAGGAAGAGGAAATTAAAAAAATGAAATATGAAATGTCTCAACTCGCAGAAGATAATGCTGCAAGAATTAGAAAGGCAGTAAGTTATGATGTTTAGAAAGAATGGGAAGATTTTTTTGGTTTTCCTCAGCATGAAAAGCTATAGGTGGTGCATGATCACGAGCAGTTTTCTTACAACTGTTTAGGTAATTTAGGTAGCAAGGCAGCAAGCCGACACTACTGTACTTTTCAGATTTGTTATCTAGACATAAATTCTTCCAAACTAAATGACACTCTGAAATTTCTCAAGAAGCAAGTGTTGATGTTTGTGCAGACAGTGGTGTAGAGAAGGCTGCACTGTGAAGATGTAAAGAATGGCGCTTTCTTTGATCTCAGAGATTGTGTTCAGTGGCACATCAACAGACAGTGTTGCATTGCTATCAATGACACGTGGCCTCATTTGAGGAGTTGCTGATGGAAGCTTGTCATGTATGTTCAGATGATAGGACCTGTTGTCCTATCATCCTACCAGATTTGTGGCATCTCAGTACTTAAAAATATTCCCCTATTTAGGCAAGTAAGACTCTTCTACCCAGTACAGCTAACGATCAAAATTCTCAATGTCACAAACCAGAATTTGGTAGAGAAATGACTAAAAACAATGTTGTAGTCTCTTTATGATTTTTTGGGGTTTGGTTTGGTTTTTTTTTTTCTTTGTTATAAGCAGCGGAAATACTGAAGCTCTTCTGATAAAAGATTGGTCATAAAATTAATTTCCTCTGTGTTGCATCCCATCTGCAGTTAAAATGCAGACTAATCTACCTGGAGGTTCTCAGTAATTACCTGCATGTCAGAGAGACTTGCTTTATTTTAAGACAAACTCCAGAGGAAATAAAGACTTGTTACAGGCATTTGTTGGCAATGTCTTTTGTTGCAAGTGAACAACAGTGTAAAGCAATTATTTTATTTTTCTTTTTTTTAAGTTTTCAGTGGTGTAATTAATTTTGACTCCTTTCACTTTTGTCTCTATGACACAATGTGCCTATGTACTATACAGGGATGAAAGTATTCTTTTTCTTTCCAATCCTTTCAAGAGGTGTCAGGAGCATACTACCTAAATTTTCAGAGCCTATGAAGGTAAAGACAGTTTGTGCTTTCCATTTGTGGTTACCTAAAAGAATCACAGAAATTGTGTGGATTACTTAAAACTTTCATAAGTGGTTCAGAGAAAGTACAAGAGCTAAAGAGCAACTAAGATAACCACTTCAGTTGTGACAGTCATTTACCGATTAGAATTTAGAAGCTTAGAAATGCCCTATTTCTTATTTTGAAATTGTCTCAGTAAAAGTGAATCTATCAAAAGCACAAAAAGTAAAATTTTGAACGATGAGTGGTCATTTTTCTCCAGATATTAAGAAATACTTTATGTGATCTAAAAATATCTTGTTACACAAATTGCAAATACCTTGCACCTGATAGCAGCTTTCTTGGTAGAATTAGTGTTATTTTTATAAGGCCTTGTTGTGCGGTCTTCCTTTCTGCCTTTTTTTTTTCTTTTTGAAACAGGTATGGATTGATAATAATCATTCTTCTAACATTTGTGTAATAAGATTTGTCAGTTATTGCAATCCCAGGTATTTTTATATACATGCACCACATACATACATACATATATATATATATAAAATGATGGAAAAATAGTTCATGGGTTTGTGTGTTTACTTCGGCTTTGATCGCAGGTAGACATGGCAAAGAAGCAGTATAATGTGCAAATCTCTCGACTAGAAGAAGAACTTTCAGCTCTTCAGATGGTATGGTGTTGATGAAAGTATTTTAGATAGCAAAATGTTTCAGACTTCTAGTTTTTGTTGATGAAGTAAAATGCTAAATTCTAGTTAAAATGCAGTTAACTAAAATACGAATAATGGGTAATTGTCTAGGTTTGTGCTTCATTACTGTACAGCACTTTACATTTTGCATAACTCCAGACATTAAACATACAGTGCCTTTCATGTTACTTGACAAAAGCAGCTGTGTGCAGTGTCATAACAGTTGGTACGGAGATTCATATTTAGGTATAAAGGGTATTTGGTTTGAAACTTCATTTTTAATGTACAGATTTGCCTTATGCATAGACAATCATACCTTACCTTCCCTGAAAACTTGACTGGCTGTGCATGAAATAATGCAGTTCTGCAAATCCACCCATTTCTTTAAGTTTATTCCTTGAGGTAGGTTTAGTTCACAAGCATCAATTCAGTGAGATGCTGTGCTCTAGAAAATATTTCCCATGTGATGGCATTTCCTAGGTATCCCTGTTTCTTTCAGGGATAAAGCATGGAAAGCTGAGTATCTGTACCATATCATATCTATAGTTGGGTATGTAGAAATGAAGTATATGAAAGTTGATAAAGTATGCTAAGAGAAATTCTGTGCATTATAGTCATCACATTCTTGAATGAACCAAGAGCTTGTAAAAAATTGTATGGGAGACCAAAAAAGCTCAGTGCATATGCACAATTTATGGATTAAATTTCTTAAAAAAAGCTTTCCTTTTATGTGTCTTGGTCTGTATTATGAATGAGACTGATTGTATAGAGGAAATAATGAGCAGGTAAATACAATCAAATGCATCCATACCAGCAGCAAGAATTACATTTACAATGGCTGGTTTTAAGCTTTGACACTTCTTGAATTTTTAGAGTTATTTTTTTTATTAGATTTATCTTAAAATGACTTTTTAAAAACAGGAATGTGGAGAAAAACAGGGTCAAATTGAAAGAGCCATTAGAGAAAAGAGAGCAGTGGAAGCAGAACTTGAAAAGGTAAGGCAGTTGCGTGCTTTTTTACATCATGCTTAAGATCTCTTTTCAGAAGGAAAAGATACATAAGTTTTTCCCATTTCTCATGGTTTGTTTTTCTTTAATTTTCTTACTTGATACTTGGAGTAGATTTTCTTAATTGTAAATTTTCATGTAATCATTTTAAGTTTGGGTTTTTATGTAATCCAGGAAGTGTTTTAAAGCTCTAATACTAAACTGAAAAAGAGGGTTGTTTGGAAAGTATAAAAAGTGAAAGGAGAGATGTTTGACATAATCTGAAAGAATGTTGGCACATATTCCAGTTAAGCTTAATAGACAGAAAACTTAATAGATGCCAGACCTTTGGAAACTTCTTTTCCAAATAGCAGCAACAATTATTTTTGTTCAAAACTTAAATTCAGTTTTGTTTTAAATGACTGGAAAATAGGGTGCAATGAGGAATAAATAACCTCCTTATCAGTATCATAGAATAGTCAGGGCTGGAAAGGACCTTAAGATCATCTAGTTCCAACCCCTCTGCCATGGGTATGGATGCCTTACTCTAGACCGTGACGCCCAAGGCTCTGACCAGCCTGGCCTTGAACACTGCCAGGGATGGCAGTGGTACTTCTTTGGGCAACCTGTTCCAGTGCCTCACCACCCTCAGTGTAAAGAACTTCTTCCTTATATCTAACCTGAACTTCCCATCTAAGTTTGAACACATTACCTCTTGTCCTATCACTAGAATACTACACTGTGCCACAGTACTACACTGCCAGTCACCAGTGCAAGGTTAAGATGATCTTACATATAAGCTTATTCTTCAGATTTACAGGGAAGACAGAGGACATGAATTTGACAACAGAAAATTAGAGCAACTGCATCAGAAGTACTTACTTGCAGAGACTACAAAAAGTAACCTTCAGTTCACTCTTCAGACAACACAAAATAAACTGAAACAGGTGGAAATGAAGTAAGTAACAGATGTTACAGAAATTAGCATGGAAAACAATAGGTATTATTTCTGACTATTTAAATTGTTGATTATGTGTTAGGTTTTTGTTACGTCTTTTTAACCAGTGGCAGGAATAGCGTCAAGATACCACAATTCTGAAGCAAGGGCAATTATGAATTGTAAAAGAATTAAAGGGGATAACATTCTATAATGAAAGATGTTTACAAGATAAGAATTGCAAGCAATTGTTTGACAAAAAAGAAAAAGAAAATAGGAGTATATTATTTGGAATCTTGCTGTGTTTTTAAATACTGTTTGTAGAAAAAGTATGAAATATTCAGGCAGAGTTTATGATACTATCAATTCACCTACAGTGAGGTATCTCCTAGTACATGCAAACACTGTTCACACAGCATACTGAGTTTCAGGTATGTGGTCAGAGCCAATAGGCATTATCGCAGTTCCAATAATACAGTGGTAAAAAGTGCAGATTTTTAGAAGAGGTTGTTGTTTTCAGCATGAAAATAAGAATTCTCTGGAAGCTTTAGTCATTTCTGTACTCTGATCATCCTGAATCATAGAATAGTCAGAGTTGGAAAGAACCCTAAGATCATCTAGTTCCAACCCTTCTGCCATGGGCAGGGACACCACACACTAGACCATGTCACCCAAGAATTCTGTCCAACCTGGCCTTGAACACTGCCAGGGTTGGGGCATTCACAACTTCCTTGGGCAACTTGTTCAATGCCTCTCCACCCTCACAGTAAAGAACTTCCTCCTTAAATGTAACCTGAACTTCCCCTGTTTAAGTTTAAACCCATCACCCCTTGTCCTATCACTACTGTCCCTAATGAAGACTCCTTCCCCAGCATCCTTGTAGGCCGCTTTGCCAGAGCAGTCCTCAGCTGGGAATCTGGAAATGTGATAAAAATTAAAATCTTTAGTTTGACATCATTTTACTGAGATTGCTACAACATTAGATTGGTTTTATCAATACTGTCAGGATAAAATTCTTTGACTTGTGTATAGTTCTAGCTGTAAACCATTAAACATGCTGAGCTGATGCAAACTTTCAGGAAGAAAAGGGAGCAGTTGTACTGGGTCAGACCCAAGATCTGTCCCCTTCTTCCCTACCCCAACCCCCCCTTTCTCTCTGATGTGGTAGTTGCTCAAGTCTTAAGTTCCAACAAGACATTTCTTCTCTTTCAGCTTTGAGGAGGAGAAATCCCGTTGTCAGGAAGTTATCTCTAATTTGCAAAGCATCTTGGATTCGGAAAGAGAAAAGAGCATCTCTGTCAGTGAGCAAAGTCTAAAGCTTCAGCAAGAAAATGAGCAGTTGCAAAAAGAAATGGAGGACTTAAGAAAACAGGTCAGAGAGGCTCAACGAAAAGCTAAAATAAAGGTATGGTTTATATGTTAGTTTTATTTTAACATAAGACTGATAATTACTTGATGAGGCAGCAGTTCTAAGAGAAAATAATTTATAGTTCATCTTAAGGAAGAAAGTTTCAGTGATGTTTCCTGGTTTCTGCTTAAAATTAACTTCATTGTAGCATTGTTTCCTCAGAATCTATTAGGTAACTCAGTCTCTGCTAATTAAATTTTGTTTTAATATGTATTAAATTCTGCTTGATAAGAACATCCCAAATGTTCTCCAAGATGACTAGATTAAATAATAACATACTTTCCTTCAAGTGATTTCACTTGCTCCAGTTCCAGATCTTCATTTATCTGTCTGTAATGTGTAACGAATCTCTGTATAACTTTCAGTGTAGAGTGTTCCTCTACTTGTATGTCCACCATGTTGTCAGTGCAGTGTGCAACTAAGAAATAATTTAATACAGTGGTTGTCAAACACTGGTTCTGTATTTTCTGAACAGAGAACATTCTTCTTTATGAATAGTTGCAAAGAAGATAATTAGCTGAAAGATTATTCTTTTTGAATGTGTTCCAGTAAATGCACCTGAACAGACTGCAGGTGGTAGAATGAATTAACAGTAACCTCAGCAGATTCGTAGTACCTTTGGCTTCTGGAGGGAGTAACAGCTTTGATGCTTGGTGTGCTTTCTAAATATATAAAGATGGTACTTTCCGCTCTGCTCTTAACTGCGTAAGTGTAAAGGTACTGCAGAGGGATATAAGAATCTGCAGCAATGAAGACGACTTCAGTAAGCAGTTTTATAAGTTATGAATGGGGACCATCTCAAGTCTGGTTTCCACTTTGCACCACAAGATAAAGGAAGCAGTCAAATTAAATAGGAAATCTTGCTCCAACACCAGAACCCTTAAGTCAAATGTAATTTAAAAGCAAAGGATCAGTCTTTTAACAGTTTATAAACAGTTACAACAGTCTTGTGACGGTTATAAAACATATACCAGATCTTTGTCTTTCTCTTTTTTTAATCAAGACAGGCTTCCAGTATAATCACAGGTAAGATTTATTGTTTGTTTTCATTTTCCTGTGACATACGAAGGATTTTAGATCCAGTTAAGAAATTCCTGATGCATTTCAGCTACGTGAAAAAAAAGAACATGTTTCTTTGGAGAAAACTCAAGAGAAAAAGATAAAGATTATTTCCATAAATAAGCATACACAGGTCATTATCATTCATTGTCAGTTATACTATTTGCTTAAATTGGCCTTGGGAACATGTATGCCTTTGAGCATATAATTACATGTTTAATTATTCTATGTTACATGCTTTCAACAGGTGTTTAATTGAACTCAAGTGTTGGTGGGAAAAAAAAGTTAGACTTGGTTGTTCCTGACTTGTATTTTTTTCTAGATAGGCACAATGAAGCATGAGTGTGCTGTGAAAGAATATGGATATGAAGCTCGACTTAAGGAAATGGAAGACACCAGTCAGAAGTCTACTGCTGAATTTACACGTCTGTTATTAGCTCAGCAAAAAGCAACAAATCAATGGAAAGAAGAAACAAAAAAAATTACTGAAACTACAGAAGCCAGGATCAGTAAGCTAAAGTAAGTGCAATTTTGTTCCTCTTCTGGAAGCTGTTACTGTTCTAATTACTGTTGGCATCGTAATGTGCTTTATAAGTGAACATTTTTCAGGAAGTCATGAACTTCCTAAAAAAGTCTTACCTGGGTATACTGGGGTGGGAGTTTACATAAAAAAGCATTTTATATTGTGCTTCACCTGAAATTTGCTGTTAGTGCAGCTCTCATAAGCATTGAGTCAGTGTCGCATTTGTTAGTGTAGGTGTTTCCCATTCTTTTGCCTTAAATTCATGATCTGTTGGTGGTTTTCAGTTTTCAGTTCTATCCTCATTACTTTCATTTTCCATGTGAAGGTGTCTGAAACATTTTGGCTTCTTTATGAATTTCCCAGCAGCAGCTGCTAACTTTTCTATATTCTGTGCTGCTCGTTTGTCATCTTTTAAGTCTGCAGTGTTTTGTTTGAGAGGTGGAATCCACATGCATAAAGGAGGCATTAAATAAATAATTCTAAGAACTGAAGCAACATCGGGGAAAGTTAGGTGGTTTTTAATTTAAAAAAAAAAAGGAAAAGCAAATTTTGCAACCTGTAACTGCAGAGTGATGATGGTTTTTTGATCAGTTTAGGCTTCACTGAAAATTATTCTGTGCTTTCTTGAATCTCTGGGTCACAGTTCAAATCAAACACATAATCATTGCCTATAAGACTGAACTTGAAATTAAAAAATAATGCTTGGCAGTGCATTGAATAATTGCAGACTAAATTCCATTATTTTCTTCCTAAAAATACACTGCAGTCTTCAGTTATGAGAAGAGTTTTCTTCCCTCTAAGCATCTTAAGATGCTGTACACTTTTAGAAGGATTTATTGGTAGTAAACTTCACCTTCACCTTGCAAGAGGGCAAGGAACCAGTTTTGCTTCAATATACTTGTGCCGAAAGTCAATCTTGAAGGTAACTAAGAAGGTCAGTGCTTCTTGCAACATAGATCCTCATTCCAAATAGAAATGTTGCTCTTGGCAGCATGGCTGGCTGACACCTCCTGACTAGTGTTTATTCTCTATTCCTGCAAAAATACCTGGTTTGGTAGAGTATGAAATGAAGCTGTTCTGGCTTTTGGTTTCATCCATTTTAGTTGTACTTTGAGTTCTAATGACATTTACTGAAGTGAACTGAGATAGCAAATATTTACAGTTACAGAATAGTTATATAAATGAGTGATTGCTGGTAAAGGTTGGTTGGTTTTGTTTCTGGTTTTGTTGTTGTTTTTAAAAAAGCAGTGTAGCACTCCTTATTTAAAGATGGGTTGCCCCAAGGCTTTTAGCTTGTTTCTTTAAGAATGTGCATGTATGTGAAAAAAATCTGTATCTGGTTATATATGTTTATAAACACATATAGAAATTATCACTCTCAGATTAAGTTTTGGGGAATTTTGTATTTTTAAATTAAGGTGAATTTAATACTACTTAAAGACCTGTGCAGACTTTGACTGGGATGGAGTTCATTTTCTTTATAGAAACCTCTATGGTGTGTGCCATAGTTTAGATCTATGACCAAAGTAGTACTGATAACAGAGTGATGTTTTAGCTGCTGCTGAACAGTGCTAATACAGGGTCAAACCCTTTTCCGTTTCTCACTGTACTGCACCAGCAAGGACGGTGGTGGTAGGCAAGATGCTGGGAGGGGACATAGTGGGATAGCTGACCCCAGTTGACCAGAGGGATATTCCACACCATATGTTCATGTCATGTTCACCAAGAAAACTGGGTGAAAGGGTAGCTGTTGTTTTCATACTGGCTGGCTATTGCTCTGCTGGTGAGGAGTAATGGGTTTTGCATTGGTTTTTTTCCCCTTCACTTACTAAACTGTCACTGTCATGGCCCATGGGTAATTCTCTCACTGATACTGTTCCAGTTCTCTCCCCCTTGAGAGAGTGAGTGAGGGGATGAGGGCTCACCTGCCAGCTGGGTCAGTCTACCTCAATACCAAAGGACAGAAATGTGGATTTGGAGACAGAACTATTAACAGTATAGTTAATTAACATAATAATGCATATTAACAATTCATTTTAGTTGAATTGGTTTGGTTACTTGCTGTGTTTCAACAGGCTTGTATTTTGATAGTTTTATCTCAGCAAGGGTCTGAGACTGAACCACCAGTTCAGTTCTGACTAGGAATAGTAAGTAGAATGAAGTGAGCTTCTGAGAGGCAAAAAGTGATCTTTCACATTCTTTTAAGGGTTTAAATGGAAAATAGTAAGGAAAGAAGTACAGAAATTCTATAAATACAGTAAACTTCTCAAGGTAATTTTTTTTTTTCATAACACAAAAAAAGCTTTTAAATCTCAGTGAATAATTTAACTACTATATATAGTTGGTGAATTTAGTAACTGACACATACTTGAGTTTCCATTTCTTTTTCTCCCCCTCTATCTGGAACATTACAGAGGTTATCTAAATAACCAAATCAGAATTAGATTTAATGTTTAATAAGTTATTTTGATCTTCAGTGTCACTTCTTCACAAGTGTGTGTAAATTCAGTAAGAGATACATGCAGTCCACATCTTTGTTGCTGATCTACAGGTTGTAAAGCTTCCAGTTGTGAAGTTGTAAGCTTTCAGATCACTGTCATTTTGAATGTCATAAAACTTCAAAGGATGAAGGTGATCTGCCTTTGACAGCTGTGGTAAAAAACCAGTATTGAGTGCTTGCAGCTTATTTTATGTTTATTGTCGTTTGAAAGAATTCACTTTTGAAAGAATTGAGAAATACATGCACATATTTTTAAAGGCTCTTGCTTTCACTGAAGTACTGTAACCTAGAAAAATGATTCCTATGGCTATATTTGGGAGGAAGAGACTGGCTAGGACTGTTCTTGTTACACAGCATTGTATATTAAGCAATACAGTTCTTCAGACTTCAGCTGAGTAAATGAGAGCAGAGAGAGAAAGTGAAATCAGCAAAACCAAAGGAACATTTAGGAAATTTGTAAATTGAAAGGAAACAAACTTCAGTAGCAACAGAATACAGGATAGATTGAGAAGGGGTGAAAGAGAGAGCTCTGACAATGCAATTTAAGCTAAAAACAGGGTAGTCACATCTGCCAGTATTTGCTAAAAGAAAATTAAGCAAAAGACTACATGCAGGTTTAAAAATAAGGGCAAATAATTGATTCTGTAAAGACCACTTTGACTCATCTGTACTTAGGTTAAGTAGGTTAAAATAGTAAACAGAAAAGAGGCTGTAATACAGGTAGTAATCGGTGGTTAATAATTTCGAATTGGCGTATTAGTATTCTTCATATATTTCTATGTTCTAATCGTCAGAATGAAGGTAAGAACTAGGGCAACTGAGAGAGGATTTTGCAGGTAACCAGTGGTTATACATAAAGCCCTTACCAAACTCCGCACCTGTGGCCAACACCAAGAGCATATTTTTGTTGAACATGATTCTGGTTGGACCAGGGATCAGAACCAGATTCACATGGATAAACAAAGTCTCATATTCAATCAGGTAACTGAGTTATCCACAAAATGGTCTTGGGTGGAGTAGATCTGGAAAACTGCAGATGGGGGGAAAAGGTGGGTCCTTGAAACTTGAAAACTTTACAGGAAATTGACAGTTCTGTCAACTTTGCTATGAATATTATTTTGGCCTGTTAGACCTGTGTATGGTTGCTCAATTAAGGTACATTTCAGCCTGAGTAGGGGCAGTAATAGGTATACAGAAGTCTGTTCTCTTTTTAGAAATAGAAACTGAATCTACAAAACAAACAGTACCCAAGAGAATTTATACATGTAGGCTTAAATGAGAAAGAGGGTAAGTAGAAGTTAATTCCAATGTAAAAAAACATTTGAGGAGCTTCAGAAATCTTAACTCTTTAATTAAAAAGTAATAAAAATTGAGTACTAGTACATGGTGTGAGCAAATTGGTGAAGTCACAATGTGCCACTATTCCCTAGTAGTAAGATAGAATTGGGGGGGGGGGGGGGCATTATTTTTATAGGTAAGGTATC